AATGGAGAAGGAACAGAAAAGAATTTAGAAAAAGCCTTTCATTGGTATCAAAAAGCAGCAGAAAATGGTGATGAAGATGCAATGAATAGTTTAGCCATATGTTGTGAAAATGGAGAAGGAACAGAAAAGAATTTAGAAAAAGCCTTTCATTGGTATCAAAAAGCAGCAGAAAATGGTGATGAAGATGCAATGAATAGTTTAGCCAATGGATATTATAATGGAGAAGGAACAGAAAAGAATTTAGGAAAGGCCTTTTATTGGTATCAAAAAGCAGCAGAAAAAGATCATATTATTGCAATGTTTAATCTAGCCAATAGATATTATTATGGAGAAGGAACAGAAAAGAATTTAGAAAAAGCTTTTCATTGGTATCAAAAAGCAGCAGAAAAAGATCATATTGATGCAATGTTTAATCTAGCTGTACATTATAGGAATGGAGTAGTAACAGAAAAGAATTTAGAAAAAGCCTTTCATTGGTTTCAAAAAGCAGCAAAAAAAGGTCATATTTTTGCAATAATTAATTTAGTTGCATGTTATAGATATGGAGAAGGAACAGAAAAGAATTTAGAAAGGGCCTTTTATTGGCATCAAATAATAGTAGAAAATAACAAAAAAATTTCTAAAATTGAAGTTGTATTTTGTAATGAATGCAATCTACCAAACACTGATTACCATTGGTGCCAACAATGTAATACTAAGCGATTTCAACAAGATTTTTCAAAGTGGACTAGTAAAAATAAATTTATTGATAAATTTATTCAGGAAGCACAAATAAATGCTAAAAATAGTTATGAAATTTTAGAGTGGATACCTTACAATAATTTAACAAGTATTGATTATTATACTAAAGGAGGATTTAGTGAAATTCATAAAGCTATCTGGTCAGACGGGCCTATTTTTAGTTGGAATTTTGACAAACAACAATGGAATAGACAAACATGTTATGAGGTTATTCTTAAAAAACTTAATAATTCATCAAGTTTAAATAGTGAATTTCTAGATGAGGTATAGTATTTATATTTAATAGCAAATTTTATTTCCTTCTGCAGAAGTTTAATATTTTTTTGTTATTTACATAGTGGAAATATCATTATAATTGTCAGAAAAAGTCATTTTCGAAATTTATTCAATTTTTTGGAATTACACAAGATCCAAATAATTTAAATTATATAATAGTAATGAGTTATGCGAAAAAAGGAAGTTTGAGAAAATGTTTATCTGATATAATTAAATTCAAGTGGCAAGAAAAGTTACAATTATTGAAAAAAATAATATTAGGACTTAAAGTAATCCATGAATCAAATTTAACTCATGGTGATTTTCATGATGGTAATATTTTAATATCTGATAATTATGAGTCATTTATTATTGATTTAGGATTGTGCAAACCCATAAGTGATTTGCAAGATTCTGATAATAAAGTTAATGAAATTTATGGAGTTTTACCTTACATGGCGCCTGAAATATTAAGAAAAAAACCCTATACTCCAGCAAGTGATATTTATAGCTTTTCGATGATAATGTGGGAATTTACATCAGGCATTCCTCCATTTAACCATGAAGCACATGACCATCATTTTATCTTGAGTGTTTATGAAGGAAAACGTCCTAAAATCATGAAAAGTACTCCAAAATGTTATATAAATTTGATAGAAAAATGTTGGGATTTAAATCCTTCCAATAGACCAACCATAATAATGCTTGAAAATATTGTATCTGAATGGATTAGATGTATTAATAAATATTATGAAATAAACAGGAATGGAAATTATAAATATGAAGTACCTATTACTGATAATCAATTAAAAAATGATATGTTTGAATTTGTAGAGGCAGACAAAGCTTTATTACAAGAACAAGTTATTATGCAATCTCATCCACAAGCATATTATACAAGTCGCAAACTTACTGAAATCTTAGTTCAAGAAGAGTCTCAGGGTCTTGATTGTATGATTGAGGATTATTAATTCTATTAAATATTCTTTATTTGTTAGATTATTTATCTATTATTATTATATATAGAAAGCATTATTATTAGTATCATTAAAAGTATATTCACTTGTAGATATTTTTGCATTTTTCAAAGAAAAAGGGTCAGTGAGTAGGGATGGGGACGGTTCCATCGGTTCAGTTCTGGTTCTTTTGAGCAGAGGAACTGGTTCTGAGCAGAACCGTTCTGGAAAACTGGTTCTGAGCGGTTTGGTTCCACAGAATGGCTCAAGTCAGTTCAGGACCTCTTATGCACTACAGTCTAACCTCAATATACCGATATTCGATATACCGATATACTATTAAAAACTTGATATACTGATAAAATTTTATTTTCCCACTATATGTGAGGACATATAAATATCGGTATAACTTTGATATAACGATATTTTCTAAAAATTTCATATATGTCCCAACATATCGTTATATAAAGGTTTGACTGTAATACGTAATGTTTTTAGGCGGACAAATTCCAGATGAATGCTTATCTTACAATGCTTGTCTGGATCACTAGATGATAATTTCTGAAATTAAGTTACTAGTTTGAATCTGAAATTCTGAATAGATTCGAAATTTTCTCTAAATGGATTGCTATCTTACTTGACTAATTACAGGATGGTTTTCAAACAGTTGATTTATAATCATTAATTTCATAGTGTAACTGCATAGAAATTCTTAAAAATTTTACATCCCCATTTAATAGATGATGATTTATATCTGTGTGTATTTCAATCAACTAATCCAATTTCGGTTAATGCAATTTTACCTTAATCAGAATTTTTAAATCTTTTTTTTTAGTCTGGTATTTTCGGTACTTATTTTTTTTCGGATATCCTTTTTTTCTTTATCCTTTTTCTTCCCCTCAATTTTTTTTTAATTTTTTTCATTACTAAATAAAAAAATAAAATATTATATTAATTATATTTACAATTATATTTTTAGGAAATCGACCGACGTTGATAATATGATTAAGATTATTTCAATTAAATTAAATGCTGGATAAATAGTTTGATTTTCAAATTTAAAAAATTGATATTTTTACAATATTTTATAATTAATTGATTGATTTGACAATAGGTTATTATAACCAAATCCATATCTGAAATTCTCTAAATAATCACCAGATTTTTGAATAAAGTTTTTAATTCAAATGGCTTAGTTAAATTAATAATTTATCGAGTAAAATGAGTATCAAAAAATAATAATAAATGAAATGAGATTCTAATACATTTAATTGTTCAAATATTTTTCTTAAGTTGGTTATAAGTTTAAGATTAACGTAATATAAATAATAAGAAATAATTATAAAATTTATAATTAATTAATAAGATAATTTCTTAATATACACTAGTATGCGAAACATGTATCACGTGACTATAATTTGTCACCCATATCACACCCCTATAGTTTTCCATTTTTACTATTTATTCTAGGGACTTGAATTTTTTCGGTAGGAAAAATCTTATTTGTCATATGTCCCGTCTAATAATTTCGGCCAATTTATAATTTCAGCCAAAATTACTGTAATTAAAATGCATTACACAAATTTCCAAAATAGGAAATTTTTTATGCAAACGACAATAATCACGTGACCCGTATTTACACATGTAGTGTAAAAATAGAAATAGTCAATTAATAAATATATTTGTAATATTTTCATATTAAAGTTTTTTAGAAAATACTTCTAAAAAAAATTAATTTTTATTGATAATTATTTTTTCACAATTCCTTAATTAATCCAAATTTCATTCTTTACTCAAACGTCAAATCATCAATAATTAATACATATTATTTTATTCTTTTTTGTTAACTAATTAGTTATTACCATATTAAATTCCTAATTATAAACAAAAAACTACTACAACCATCTTTAATTTACTTAGTATTACATTATGATACTAAAATTTTCTATCTAAACAAACTCATTGGTCCTGATGCACAACAGGTGACTGCCTATTATTACTAGTGTGATGTTAATTATCTTCACAGTTCTTAAAAAATTATACCAATATTCTGAACGGAACTGAGCTGCTCAAGTTGAACGACTCAGTTCCAAAGAACTGAACCAGTTTTCAGTTTTGGTTCCGTTCTCGGTTCTGTACTGTGCTTGAGTCGCTAAGTCGTGGAATGCCCACATTCCTATCAGGGAGAATTAAAGCCAGAAAGTAAAAATTACATAGATAATTTATTTATTATTAAGCTCCTTGACCAATATGCCTTATATAATTATATTATAATTAAAGGAATTTTTAATGGCTATAATTCTTTAATTAAAATTTTACAGGAATAAAAAATAATCATATGTTATAAACTTAAAGAAAAATAAAAAAAATAAAAAAATTTCAATTCGTTAAGATCGATCCCTTGACCAAAATTTTGCTAAAGAATTTCAATATGAATACTTTTTTTTTCAGATAGTATACATACAAATTTTATTGCAAATATAGATTTTATGATGTGAAAAACATATATTACTATGGCACAAAACACCTTTTCAAAGTACCCTTCTAAAAAATGACGGATACAAATAACTATTTTCAAAAATCATACAAGTCTTTCAGACAAGAAATAAATGCTACAACTTATGGTATCAATAAAAGAGACTCTGGTGAACCAATAGATGATTTTAAATGTATAAAATAACAAACTCTACACTCAACGAGTCTTCTTCCCCTTCTCACCTGAACATTCTGCTATGGAAAGATGAAAATTTCCACCCAATTTCCTCAGAACCAGACATATTATTATGTGACAAAATATTTCTGATCAACAAACACCAATCACAAACAACTACGATCAAATGGATATGGATCAGAATAAAGATTTTACGAATATAGAAAATACTCGAGGATCTACAAATACACAAATAAAAATACTGCAAATGTCACTATCGATTTTATACGATTTGTCAGGTAGTAACAGAAATAGAATATCAGTAATACATGTAATGAATGTAATATAATAAGAGATGCAGTAGGAAATCGATAATAATTGTAGGCTAATATTTGACAAAGGTATATGAAATAAAGATAGGTTTATGGTGTGTAATCGATCAATATATCATTTTTTATTTATAAACTAATAAACGCGAAAATAAATAAACTGAATAATAAATGATAAATAATAAAAGATATAATTAGGAATTGGTAAGAAACGTGTATCTTTATTAACAATTGACAAAAATTGGTAAGGAATTGACCATATCACTGCCTCACTCAGCAGCTCTGTAATATTCGTTATTCCTTTTCAAGGGTTAATTATCACTACTTATCACTTGACTATCACTAACTATCCTTCAAAATTGCTCCTCCTCTTATTCTTTAAATATCTCTCAAAATGAGTTTACCACAAATTCCCAATAAGCACAATCCCGATATGATAAAATCCCAAGGCACGTATTTCTGACAGAGACAATATACTGAACGATCAAAATCCCGAAAGTATCATATCCCGAATGGTCTAAAATCCAGAATTTAAATTTCCTGAAAGTTCAAGTTACTGATGAGTCAAAATCCCGACATAATATTATAATTTTAAGTATCTCTTTGATTTTTGTTTTCTAGGAAGATCATTTCCTACTGATTATATAATTTGCGACAATTAATACAATCATATATACAATACATATGCACTATTTCCAATTTAAATGATAAAAAATT